GCAGGGGGCTGCGTGGCTGCTGGAGGGTTTTGGGGGGCTTCTGGGAGGCTTCGGGGAAGCGGGGGCGCAGCGAGCTTTCACCCACGCATCTCTCGCCGCTTCCGAACCTAACTGGGCTTTTTTCCCGGTCGGCGGGCCCTTTTAAACTGCGCGCATGCGCAGTGGGCATGCCGTCGAGGAAGCTGCTCTTAGGGCAATAAGGGGGCCCTGCCCGGGTTGTGGAGCTCAGGCTGGGAGATAAGGTTGGGAAGCCTGTTCCCCACCCAGCTCCATGCTCATGGAGCTAAGCAGTAAACAAGCTCTCCAGCCTATTCCACACCCATCTCCACAACTGCAGAGCTAAGCAGGCAACAGGCTCTCCAGTGCCCACCCTATATAGATCCCTATATATCATGGATCAGGGGCTGGGAACTGTCTCAGTCAGGGGCAGGTCCCAGCCCCGTGCCCCAGTCAGACAATTGAAGCGTGGGGCTTGGAAAAAGCTGCAGGGGTGGGGCAGGTTCCAGCCCCCTACCCCAATCTGCCAACGGAGCAGCTAGTCGCAAGCCCCAGCTAGGTGGGGAATCCCTGCCCAGCCAGAGGCTTGCTGCTAGCTGCACCACAGGCGGATTGGGGCAGAGGGCTCTCCCCTGCAGCTCGTTCCAAGTCCCCTGCCCCAATCACAGAGCCAAGGCTGGGAGCTCCCTGCTGCCGGAGCATTGTCCCCACCCTGGCAAGAGGCAGCCCCCTGGGGGCAGGGAGCAATGTGCCAGCCCTGGCCAGGTGACAGCCATCTCCTGGCCTGGTACTCCCTGCCAGCCCCAGGGCTAGTACCTAGGGGGAGCCTAGACCTCCCCCTGGTGATGGAAGGGACCCATTTCTGGGCCCCAGGAAATGAGAGCAGTTTGCTGACATTAGCAGCAAATCTGCTCATGCTTCCCTGATGTAAACACCTGCCTGGGAGCCTTTATTCATGAATAGCTTACTCGCAAGTAAACTGCTCCCAGATCTAATGCACATGTAGAAACACCCACTGAAGCTAAGATTTTCATACACAACTAGGGTAAAGTTCCCAATTTCCTCTATCCTTCCTCTATCCTGGGAGCTGATGTGGGCTCCCAGTCACAGGAGCACTCTAAGTTGGTTAATCACAAACTGGGTACCTAACACTTTTAATATTCTTTGGAAATCTTAATTCTATTTAGACACTTAGGGCATTTATAAACATGATCCGGGAGTGGAGGCGCTTTAATGACTGCATCTCTGAGAGCCGCTCTAATTACACTGCCCAGAGCATCTTGTGTATAGCATCCCTGTGCTTAAACATGGTGGCGGAAGCACTTTAACTAAAGCTCATTCAATGAGCTTTAGTTGAAGTGCCCCCGCTGATACACAAGATGGTGGAGTCTGCTGGAGTGCGGTAATTAGCACGCTTCAGCAGATTTTATTAATCAAGGCTGCTCAGACAAACTGTAATTACAGTTTGTCAAAGCAGCCTCGCTGCTCATATATAGGTGCCCTTAAAGAAAAAATATGGCAATTTTTTTCAATACGTACTGGCACTCAAGTTTGAAAATATTAGTCCAAGATGATAAGTGACTAAAGCATTTGAGGAGAGTCTCTTTAAAAACGATAATTTCCTCATCTTTCTAAAATCCTGAAAAAATGGTTGATAGACTACTCAAAAAGAATTAAATTAGAAAACAGCCATGGTACTGTTTTCAGCTGCTATCTGTGACTGGAACTGACAGAATACTTAGGGCCCCTCCAGATGTGTAGACATCCATGTCACATGTTCATGGCTGGAGGCATGACTGTGGGGTCACACATCAGATCCCATCACGGCTTGCCAGTGAAGGGGGAGCCCAGGATCTTGATCCCAGGCTCTTCCTGCCCTGGCAAGTAACAAATTGACAGGGCTCCCAGATGCAGAGGCACCCCAGATGTCCCCACAGCTGGGAGTCCTGTCAGCTGATGCAGGCTCCCAGCCATGGGGGTCCCAGCAGCTAGAAACCTACTGCTGATGCAGGCTCCCAGCTGCAAGGAGGCACCAAGCATCCCCATGGCTGGGAGCCTGCAGCTGATGTGGGCTCCCAGTCACAGGAGCACTCTAAGCTGGTTAATCACATCTGAAGTTGAACATGTGGCAGGGACCTTACATTAACATCAAGACCTATGAGAGCGTGGTATTTGATGATGTATCATTATATAGTACATGACTATTATACAAACATGGCAATCTAACTGGTAGAGTAAGTGGAAGTTAGAAAAGAAAAATTCTGGGACAGAGAACAGTAAAGTCAGAAATTTCCAAGGAGAAAGAAGTAGCTCAATTTCAAACACCGTTAGTGAAAAGAGATATATAAATACATTTGGAGAACACACTATAGGGAAATCTATTAGAAGAATTAAGAAACCTGAGATAGGACTTGGATAGTCACAAAGAGTTGGAATCATTATGGGCATTTATAGACGTGCTCTGGGAGATTGGGAGGGGTGGAAGAGGGGGCACTAATTAGTGCAGCTCCAAGAGCCGCATTAATTAAAAGCACCTGGAGTATCACATTTATCAGCATCCCCGTGCTGAAAAATGGTGGTGGGACACTTTGAACTAAAGTTCATTGAACTAGCTTTAGTTTAATGCACTCTGCCACCATTTTTCAGTGCAGGGACACACACGTGATGCTGGAGTGTCCTGGAGTGTAGTGATTACCATGCTCCAGCAGATTTGATTAATCAAGTCTACTCTGATGCGCTGTAATTACAGTGCATCGGAGCAGCCTCTCTGCACATGTATAGGAGCCCATTATTATTTTTAAACACAATGGTGGGGGAGATGAACCAAAACCAAATGATTACTACTTGACACAAAAAAGTTATGGTAAAATCCAACTACTTCATCTGTTGTCTTTAGCAAGTAGATGTTTAGTTAAATTAATTTCAAGTGTATCTAAGAGAAACCTGATTTTATTCCACCAATTAGGTGCATAAGTACCCTTAGGCACCTAAATGCAATTCTACTCCTCCCTGCTCAGGTCCCTAAAAATTCATAATATACATACTTTTTTAACAAATAATCATCTACCCCTTAAGACAGAGTCAAAAAAAGCAGCAAGAAAGAGGACCCAATCATATTTTGTATTAACTATCTCTCAGGGATTCACGGTGGAAGAGAATCATGCTCGGGTGCGTAAGTCCACTTACACACCTAATACCTGGACTAGAATCTGACCCCAACCTTCAATGCCAATACTTGTTTTGAAACAATCAGAATATTTAAATGTTCTTCTGCTGTAGCTAACTCCATTTTCTACCTGCATATCTTGACACAAATACTTTACTTGGGATCCATACAGAAAGCATGGTTTTTGTGTAAGCACAGACCAGAGAAAGCATTTTCACAGAAAAGATACTGTTGAACATTATTAAGAACCTGATTCTTGCTGTTTAATGTCCTCTTTGATGTTTACTGTACTGGCAATGCATGCCAGTGATGAAGATCCCTGCTCGCTTTCACAAGGTTCTGGAAAAGAAGAATACCCTCAGACATTTTGTGCATTTTAATATTCATCAAGACATCTGTCACCAATTTTTACTGGAGCTGGGACAGCACAATTCTTTGTAGGTTATAGTTCCATCCTACAGGGGCAAGGGAAGGGTTAGGAGGAAATGCTTTATTTTTAAAAGAAGTTGTCTTCTTGTAGTACTATGCTTTTTATGACAAATTTTCTATTTTAAAGGCAAAATGGTGCTCAGTTGTATTCTGCTATTTGTAAGGTTAAGGACATGTGTGCTGGCCATTCTGCAATATATCTATTAACTCAGTTTTTATTTCTGGGTGATATTAAAGATGATGACAGTGATCTACAACAATGATGCTCAATCCATTCAGCCCTGTGAGTGGCATGGGATAGGTTTAAGAGCCAGATACCATACATGGGGTCGGTATGAAGCTGCATTTTGGCTGTAGAGCTACCCAGTATGCCAGCCCAACCCCACAGGCCACGATTTGGACACAGAATGACCCCTCACCATGGATCAATCCTGTAATCATCACCCAGCCCAATGGCCTCCACTTGGGAAATTTGGCATTAGAGAGCAGCAATTAATTCTACTACTGCACCCCAGCTCCCAAATTGCCAGACCTATGTAGAGATCCAAGATCTGGATGACAGCTCCATGCGACAGATCTAACCTACAGGGCAGAGGTTGAGAACCACCAATCCATAACTAGGGACCTACTCAAATTGTAATTTTGTGCATTTCATGGAAATCACAAAATCAGATGATGTCTGCGAAATCTGGGGAGAGGGGAACTAAATAAAAATAAAATGCTGCCTCCCCAGTGGGAGTCAGAAAACCTCATGGCTGCTGTGGCCCCGCTGTGCAGCCTGACAGAGGACAAGAGGGGAGGGGGAGCTGCCAGCATGAAGAGGAGCAGGCAAGATGGCTGCTGACCCTGCCCCTGATTGGCTGAGAAGGCTGCCTGTCATGTGGTCCCACTCATCTCAGCAAAGCAGCAGAGAGACGCAGGGCCATATAATGGACAGCCCTCAACCAATCAGTAGTGACAGGCAGGGCCACTGGTCCCTTGGCCAGCAGCATGGGCGTGGGGGGAGGGCCTGCCCTGATAAGCCCACAAAAATGGTGTCCGGCCCCATGAGCTGCCAGTGAAATCGGCCGCCTGCCTCCTCAATTTGCATAGACCCCTATATATAACACCACCTATACTTTCAAACCTAGCTATTGGACAGGCTCTCTGCCAAAAGTGCTACTATGACAGTAAATATTAGGTGAGAGAATTCTTGCTTGCAGTCACAAAATTTGAACATCTCTGGGCAGGAGACACATTAGTTTCTATGGAAGAGTCTTAGCTATGCAAGTTGATTCCTTCATGGTTTTATGTGAGCCTGAAAATACTGAGAGAGACTACAATGAACAATTTCTCTTGCAAGATTTAAACAGCTACAAGAGTACTTATGGTTTAATTTGTAAGTTGGGAATTCTGATAGCGATCAACGACTTGGTTTATTTAAAAAAATTCTTTATGTGCAGCCTGTGTGGACACTGTATGTACCCAAAACACTGACTTACTGATATGTATCAAGATGTATATTTGCAACATAATGTTAACTGTTTGTATTAAAACCTTACTAATGTACCTGATGGCAACATTTGACAATGACTTCTGATATGCATACACCTAATACACGATACACTATATGAGCTTGTCACCAGTTGTCTTTACCCAAACATCACTTTTTTTATTTTCAGCATTTCATGCAAAAGTAAAGTCTTCAAATGGCATGCAGAAATGCAGGGGGCTTCTGCTCATGGAAGAGGCTAAGTCTTTGCTTACTCTTACTTGTACTCTCCATTCATTCTTGAACAGGAACAGGACAATTCTGCACTCATCTGCCTTGTATTATAAGCAAGGACTTTCAGGCTCAAAGCCTTATAACATATCAGCAAGAGTCTAGAACAGTGGTTTACAACCTTTTCAGTCAGGGCACCCCTCCACCGTTTTTTTAAATTTGGCAGCACCCACAGTTAAGAACCACTGTTGGTGCTGCCTCAATTTGGTGCTTCACAAATGGGATTATTCTGCCCCTGGATAAAACACTGTCCACCTGGGAAGGGCTGTGGCACGTACATACACTCCTACTGCATTAAGGATGTGATCAGCCTAAAGCAGGCAGAAGCTGACTCATGCTGTGTAGGCCCACCCAGTCCAGACCAGAAATGGAGATGTGCAGGTGGCACTATACCATGTACCTCTGTTTCTGGGATGAGCATGGGAGGGGCTGAACTAGAAAGGGCTACAGCTGAGTCAGCTCCATGTGCTTGAGGCTGATCACAGCCCTAATTCAGCTGGAGTGTGTACAAGGCAGTTTTACCCGGTTGCTGCTGTGGCAGCAATGCCTGTATTGCAACACCCCTGAGGAGGTTTCATGGCACTATGGCCAGGTGCCATGATATTCCAGTTGAGAACCAGTGGTCAAGACAACTGACATCAAAATCTATTTTAGGAATGAACAAATAATGCTACTCCTTCTAAGCACTAATTAAAAATGCAAGTAGCGATCCCTGGAAGAGCAGCATAGATAGTAGTACCAGAAAGGCATTTCACTCAACAGTTCCATTGCCATTTTCTTTTCAGGCTATGCATTCAGTTTCCTTGAAGTAAAAGTAGTTCTAATTACCTTTATCAGTGCCATTATTCATTGTTTGGAACATTATGTCCTTTTGAACAGCTGCACTGCTGTCCTCATGGGACTGAATGTGATTTTCCTGTTTTAGCCCTCTTCTGACCAAAGTGAGTCGAACTGTTTGTCCCGTGTGACGCAAAACCTCTACTGCCTGCTGGTTGGTAAAACCCTGAAGATTTGTGCCATCCACCTGCATGATTAAAAGGAGTCTATTAACCAGAAAGCCACCAGACAGAGAAAAATACATTAAAATATTCTCTGCCCACAAGGTAACTTGCTAGTCACACATTGTTTTAAATTAAATGCAAAGCAAGGTCATGAAAGGGGTAGATAATGGAGAAAAAACACAATGGCTACTGTTGCATGGACTACACGAGACAGTTTTGACTATAATATCCCACAATTATTATCATCATAAGAGCAATGAAGGTAGCAGGGCTGTAAGCAACAGCCAGTGTTTTCAGTGTTTTGTTTCATACGCTGCTGGAAGCTAAAATAATGTATGCCTGATTTCTATACATTGATATGTTTGTATAACTGTCTACACACTAGTGATCCCAACATCATTACTTATATGTAGAAAATTTGAGGCAAGAAAGCCAAATATGGTAATCATCAGTGCTCATCTAATGGGGGTAGGTGATAAGGAAAGCAAAGAGAAACATTTCTTTTACCGTTCCATAAATACTTCTATCTGTATAGAATATTTAAAAAATTTAAAGTATCTTCTGTTCATATTAACTATTTAATCAGAGAATCACAGAAATCAGATACAAGATATCCCATGACTTTCCCTTAGCCAGTCGAACAGTATTCATATAGTTAATCTATACTTGCTTATTCTAGTCTACAGTTTTACGCAACTGCACTTCTATCTAGTCTGCCGTTAAGCTATTCTATCATCTAATACACTTAATTTAATTTATTTTCCTGATACTCAGGCAAAATATTCCTTTGCTCAGCTTTATTACTTCCAGAAATATACTCTTCCTCCTAAGCCCCAAACCCTAACCTATTTCTATGTCTCTTTGGTATGTTTATCTTTCAAATCCTTGCAGAAATATCATATCCCTTTACCCTAGTACTTGTTTGGCCTGCCTATCTACACAATACACATACTCCTTTATTTTAATCCTCCCTGCATGAAAAATCAATCCCTCCAGTCCCTTAATCATTTTTGCTGTCCTTCTCTGAACTTCTTCCAACTCTTCAGTGCTTGTCTAAATAGAAAGTAACATAAAATAAGCTTGTACTATTAAACTTTTTCATGTTGAATTGAACCCTGTTATTTTTTCTTTTGTTCTTTCCTTTTTTATGCCTCAGACTAACTCAGATCTTTCTGCAGTTGGATTTCAGAAAACTACTCAGATTTATTTTATTTAGCTGTTTGTACCCCATATTTACACCACAGTAAAAACATACATACACACACATATATACACATGTATGCCCACATACAGATTAGCTTCCTCCTACTATTTACTTTACATGGAGCTAAGAGGGTAGCTCTGATATCTCCAAGATAAAAATAATTTATGCATTTGGATTCCAAATCCTACTACCTGATATTTCCAATGAATAATCTTGAGAAATTTTCCAACCTTTTACCCACAGTTTTGTTGTTATAAAAAGGTCTTTTCTTTCTCAGAACACTAAGAAACTTGCAGTGGGGTATAATTTTAGGTCTCGTTGAAATTACTTAACAAGTATTTGCTTTCTATGAGACCTAATGAATAAGATCTCTGCTTTCACTGGGCATGCTAAGAACTCTCTATTGCTAGGAGAAAACAAAAGTGTCACTGATCACTTTTTTTTTTTAAGGAACAGAGCCCTATTTATAAAATGAGCACCATCAGAAAGACAGTGTTATAAAACATTTAAACAAAACAAAAGAGTCATCATTTCCCACTAAATCCTCATCTGTTTTGATCACTGCTATAAAGTAAACCCAATATTCCAACCCCCCCACCCACCAAATTTGATTGCATTTCACATACAAATTCAAATATACTGACGTCCACTTACAGCTATGATTTGATCTCCAACATGGATTCTACCATCATGTTCAACAGCACTGCCTTTTGTAATACTTTTCACAAAGATACCTGAAGGTTCTGGGATTTAAAAACAAATTTATTATTTATTATTAAAGTTGTCCAAAAGATAATCTCCTACTCCCCCCCCCACAACCTCAAAGTAAAGTAAGTGAACATAGACAAGAATTTCAGCCAATAAAACTTCTTCTCCCTTCCCTCCTGCCTTCCTTCATTAAGAGCAAAACTGGGTCATTTATAGTCAGCACTGAGCCTGGAAACCCAAAGAGCCAGCTACTGATAAAGTCTGCCAGTCTGGGGAGCCAACTGTGACAAAAAAGTCAACATATTTCATCAAAATTTCCATGATACATAACTGCAAATGTGTTTGTTTTACTCCATGAGCAACTTCTGAGAGAGAAATATTTCATCTGAACTTCCAGCTAGTTCTCATTATAAATTAATTATGCTTGCAGATGCAAAAAAAAATAAAAAAACGGCACTTTACTTTAAACTCGGCGCACTCCCACACTGAACCCAGCACATGCCCAGAAGAGGCACTGCATTAGTTGGACCTGGCTCATCCAACATATATATAGATTGGGTGCTTTCATGGGGCTTTTTGGTACTTTTCTCGAATAGCTGATTGAACCAGCTTTAGATTAAAGCTCCAAAAAGCCACGCTGAAGCATGCAATATATACAGATGCTGTGGAAACAGGTCGAACTAATGGGCTGCTTCTTCTGGTAAAGACTTTTTTTCCACATCTGTCAGCAGCCTAAATGTCTTGCCATAGTTGCCTTAACTCATCCTGTAATACCTAAATAAGGCAAAAGGCCGCAATGGAGACCACGAGAACCAGAAAGGGCAGCAGAAGTATCCAGGATAAATACTGAAAGGGTGACAGTCCTCCAAAAGACAATTAATAGTTAACTAGTTATTGTGAGCAAGTATGTGAGGGTAAGAAGTCAGAACAGGGCTTAGGAAGGCAAAAGGCGTCAAATAGGGACTGAGGAGAGTTGGAGAAACCAACAAAGATATATGGGGCTATACACTGGGTTTATTAGCTGGGGACAGTTCATGGCTGTGCAGAGAGTATAGGATTAATGCTTATGCACCATCATATTCTCAAACATTTGGCAGTGATGCATGAGGCACCCATAATTTCTTCTATTATTATTTCTGTTGTAATAATAATAATAATGTATTATTTATTTTCCTTATATGGATCAATCATAACATGTGGGATCATTTCTCTCAAATTCAGTTGAAATTATTAGAAATATAACTGCTGCAAGTAAGCATTAGATTTTTGTTTAATTTAGGTAGCCCAATTTCATTCTCAGTTACACCAGTAAATAAATATGAAATAACCAAAACCAAGAGATAATCCACATTTACTATATACATACGTGATTGGGAGCAGAAGTTGATTTAGTTTTTAAAAACAACAGGTAAAACTGTCTTCATTATTAACCTACTCACTGCAGAAATGCAAAAAAAAAAGTATTTACTTATAAAAAAAAAAAAAGAGCAGCCATCTACCTGAAAAACAGCTGCATCAATTTATTTTAGAATTTTTTTAAAGGCGGCCTATGCTATAGTTTGGCCAAGAATTAATTTTTTTAATTAATTGAATTTATAAGCCCTAAATATGGGTTTTGTAATGAAACATAGATCACATCCATATCTCCCACTCTAAAGATTTCAATTCTTTTTTTTATAACCATTAGAAAGTTTTTGCTTATATATGCATATACTAGAGTCTAAGTCAAATTTGGAATGCATGCTAGCTAGTCTATGCTGAAAACTTCAGGATTTAACATTACCTGAAGTTTTATCTCCAATGTAACCAGCAATAGTTATTCCTAATCCTTGGATGTTTTTAGTCAGCTCCACATCAAATTTCTCACCATCTTCATAGCTATCAGCAGTCTTCTCTGTCTAAAAAAAAAGTAATGAAACAGAAAAGCTTCTTAAATGCAACTTCATTCCATGATGTTAAGCACTAAGGACACGTCACAAATGAAGCGATAACTTTTCTTCTGCTCCTGTCCTGGAATTCAGACAGCCATGCTACACAGATAATATTCCTCATCTGCTTGTTACTGGGATCCTGCCACCCACTTTTCTAATCTCCCCAGTACGGGCCTACAGACCATGGAATTACTCGGTGAATAATAAATGACTGGTAGAGCTTTAAAAAATTGAACATCAAATGTCTTGCACAATAATTTATACAACATATGCTTTACATACTTCAGTGTATAGAATGGAGTTGTTCTAGAACTCCACATTCAATCTGCTGTATGCAGATAACAAGAACCAATGTGCTAAATGTAAAATAATGAAGTATAAAGTTATAGTTTTCTGCATTCACTTTTAAATAAGTGCCCAATAACTACTGAGATTTTTTTTCTGCTATATGTGCCAAGTGTAAAACATAATGAAATCTTTTTCTATTGAAACAATTATGTTTCCTGTTTTTAGCAAGCCTTGAAATTTCTATTTTAGAAGGTAGCAATTATACTTCCAGCAGCTAAATAATGACAATCACCACTAACACCCACTACAGTCTTCTATGAAAAAGAATGCTTTCAGTAACAAATCATTTATTTATTGCTAACGGAAGTGCTATGATTACAACCGGAGAATGCATATTAAATACCTACCTCAACAATAACAGCCTTAGTATTAAAGAAATCAACTTGGAAAACTTAACTTCATTGTATTCAAGTATATCATTTCCACAAATTGGCTTTTTTACTGCTGTTCAAAATAAAAATTCATTGGCTGGTGTATCTCAGCAGAGTTCTATTGACTTTGGTAAAACTATGCTGAGGTACAGCAGCTGAGGGTATGACTTCATTCCTTTATTGGAATAAATGAACAGATTTCTAGATGCTTATGAGTATGAGAAGAACATCTAATTCTGCTGCTCCAAAGCACATCTGCCTATCATATTAGAGGGTTATTTGGACCAGAGATAATAATGGTCCAGGATTACAGCCTGATAATTGCTTGCATCTGCGTGAGCTGATGAGTTTCTGAAGGACAGATCTTTCCTAGGGGACATAGTGAGGAGTGCCAGTTCACTGGCATCATCCCCACTTCTTTCGCCTGAAGAAGGTTCCCTGGTCAAACTCTAAGGGTTAAATTTTGTTATGCATTAGAGAGGGAGAAGGCTAACAGCATTATCAGCAGAGTTCCTCTGTCTGCACCTTCTCTAAAGAGTGAAATTTTGTGCAGGGATAGGCAGCTGTCCAAATACAGAATGACTTCTGCGAGAAGCTGTGTTAAAGGGATGAGAGAATACAAGAACATGGGTAAAGGTGAGGAGGGAGGTAAAACAGAGGTTTTTTCCATAATTTCATTGATAATAGAAAATACTAAAATAATGATGTTGTATCAGAGGCTGCAACCATATCACATCACAACCAGAAAATCCTGAACATAATCCGTTTTGATCCAGGAAGTCATAAGAATCAACTGCCTCTCTAAAACTTCTTCTTTGAAGATAAACAAAATTTTCAAGTTGGTTATTCATCCCTCTCTATAATACATTTTCTGCACATAAGCTTCCCTGGAAGTATCACATTTCAGTACATTGCATTTTCCAAAAAATGTTAAAGGGATAACATTCCAAGCTGGAACTAAGGATCAAATAGGTTTCTGTTTCTCTTTGGGGCTTGCATAAATGATAAACAATAATTTCCTTCCCCAATTGTTTCAAGAAGACCTAATATCCATATTAAGAGGAACCTGCCCATCCCAACCCACCAGTACTATTTCCTTACCTTGTCTGTCTTCTTGGGCACTATGAAATAATTAAGTTCTTGAGTAAGAAACTCTTAAATAAGGGAAGACCATTTCAAGAGTTTGCCTCTAACCATTAATAAAACCATGTGGCTTGAAGTACTTTAAATAATTTGATATGCAGAAGATTATCTCTAGACATAGTCACAGAAGCTAAAAACGACAATAATTTTTGAGTGCAAGTAAGATACATTTTAGACAAAAAAATGACCATTTCCTCTCTTTTATTTTATTCATCTACTTACATGTGTCAGTTTGTGTGTGCTCTTCTACCACACAAATATTGAGTAGTTTCTCAGTCCACTACCGGGGAATGTTACAAAGCCAAAAAAAAAGAATACTTGAATGTCCTATTTAAACAGCTGTTTAGTGTACAGGCTTTCCTTGATTTATGTGGGTTCTGTATGTGCGAATTCACTCTCATGCAATGACCCTTTTTATATCAAGAATTAACTATATGCAAGGTAAATTGGTGCCATTGGTGTAGTGGAAGCCCGCAGTCAGCTGCTTTGTGCAGTGCATTGTGGGAGTGACGCACACCAAAATACAGTCTCCTGTGTGGATCTGTGCTCCTTGCTTGTTATCTGCGACATGTGTTTCTGTAGTTGCCATCCCCATTATGATACTGCCCTGTGCTTGTGTGTACTGTCTGCTGCTGGTGAGTACCAATATTGTTTTGTAAAAGTGGTAGAAATGGGTCTGGGGGTCAGTACAGTCAAGGTCTTGGAATGTATTCCTATTTGTTACATTGTAAAATGGGGTCCGTTTATGCAAACTCAAGTTATACCCCATTTTCCAGGAACACATGTACCACATAAAGTGAGGGAAACCTGTACATATTGTGATACTTCTACTACAGCATGCCTCTTGAAGATATGGTGATTTTCACTATAACAACCAATTGGATAAGCAAATGGAACCTGGGAACTTGTTATACATTAACAATCTATTTTACCTTTTTTCTAAACAAACTCTTTGCTCCCCTGACACACTTGCATGATTTTAAGAGGGAATCATTTAGGCATATGGATGGTCCTGGAGGCATCTGTAGACAGGTTTGCTCCTCAGGAAAGAGGGAAAGCAGTGGAGAAAAGTTGCAGTGTCGGAGCATCAGAGGAAAAATAAGGGGAGCAGCTGGCTGAATTGCTGGCATTTGGCTAGCAAATGAAGCTGTGCCAGGTGACCTAGGAAAGGACCTGCAGCTGTATGCCAGCTGGCATAGGAAAGGGTTGTCTGATGGAAGGTTGTGACAATCTGGAGATAAAGAAGTTTGCCTGGGGAGGAAGAGGAGAGGCCGGCAGGGAAAAGCGCTACAGATCCAGCTGGCGCAGCCAACAGAAAGGGTTGGAAAACACTGGGAGTTGTTGCAGCACCTGATCATTCAGCTGTTCCCAAAACACTTCTGAAGTTATTTGCATTACACGTGTGCCTTCAAACTTGGATTCTCAAAGTCCTCTATGAACAAACTCCCCCAGCTGTAAGGGGGATCCTACCTTTTGCTTTTAGAATCCAGCTTTTCATGTATACAGGCTGAAAACATACTGGTTGTTGAAATATAGGTTCTTCAAAAAATAAATGTAAAGCTATCCAATTTCTGGAAAACATTTAACACATCTTACACATTTTGTTTTCATTTACCTGTTTCTCAGACATGGATGTTGGTATAGGGGTGCCTGGTGGGACTGCTGGTGGAGGTGGTTCCTCCATGGGACCTCTTGCAATGACCAGCTTCACTCGATTTCCACACTGTCTCAGAACTTGGGCCACTTGCTCACTACTCATGCCACTCAGATCTGTATCGCCAATTTTCAGAATATGGTCTCCACTGCATAACCTTCCATGCTAGATGAGCAAGCAACCAACCAGACATAAAAGTAATTAAAAATATTAGCAAGTGCTCTTTCCCCTTTCCTAAACATATGAGCTGGAAATCATGTGTGGGTTAGTTGTTTTAAAATGTGAGAGCCGGGTGACTATAATTTTTTTTTAATATCAGACCATATTTTAGCAGAGTGGGAAAGCATACACTCAACATGAGACAAGTATGGCTTCAAGTGTACCTAGCAATGTTTAGAACAAAAGAAGACATTCACTCATACATGCAAAATCTGTGAAATTATGCAGCCGGCTTCCCCGTATTTAGCACTTGCATGCACAGATGAGAATTTTCACTTTGAAGTATCCATTTACACCACAACTGTGTGAAGATATGACCAAACACAAATGCATACATACCCTTCTTTAAACACCTGGTCCTTGGGCTTAATCATAATTTTAAAACAAAATAAATGTCTCATTTACTGTGGTATCTATTAAGATTACACTGCTCTTAAGGCATTTTTTAATTTAGTCTCCTATTGCTTTCATTTTAAAATTCAAAAATACGTCATATGAATTTAGTCCCCATTAAAAGTATTAAAATGGCACACATCTCAGGGAGTTGTTCATAGCAGTACAAGCTTCTAAACACTACCCTGTCTCTGTGCCTCAACATTGATCTGCAGAGGCTGTTTTTATTAGTCAAAAGAATAGTAGTTCTCCACACCCACTCAGTCGCTGACTGTTACAGACATTTCTCCCTGGGAGCGTCTACATGAGACACTAATACGCAGTAGCGCTGCTGGGCACCAACTGTGCAGTGATGATATTGCACAGTACTAACAAGCTACTGCGCAGTAGCATTGGGAAAAAACTGTGCAGCGATGGTGCTGTGCAGTAATGCCGGTGACTCCGCATTCATTTAGTAACTGCTTTTATGCAAGTACTAAATTACTATGCAGTAACAACTACACAGTCTGCCACTTGTGTAGATGCGGCCCCTAGGGAAATAGACTGAGATCACCAAATCTGGATACAAAATTTTGGTCACTTCTTTGTTTTGAATTGGAACTGATGAAAGACTGTTTCTTAATACGAAATGCTCATCAGCACACAGCAGGAAAGGTACTAGGTAACAGAGGAAATGGCCTAGAAGCCAAATTCTGTTTTTGGTATAGAGCCTTAATCAGGATAATTCCACAATCTCTATTATACTATCATTGCTTTCTTTCAGCCTAGGTGGAAGAAAATTATTGTTCCTTCATGTTACACTGACAGACTTACATTAACTTTATACACTATGGTAAACAGTAAACAAGTAGTTGCTAGAATGAATTTACCTGATCAGCTACTCCTCCAGGAAGGATGGTTTTAACTATCACTCCTGTTGACTTTCCTCCCACTATCCCAAATCCCAGACCTGATCCATCATTCACCAATTCAATAGTTTCCACGTGTTGCCAATGGACCTGAAAGGAATAAATATAAGCTTGCAAAACATTAAAGTAATGACTCACGCATATTATAACTTGTCACAAGCTAAGCGTATATTGGGTGCCTGTACAGGGACACAGCTCTGATGCACTGTAATTACAGTGCATCAGAACAGACTCAATCAATCGAGTCTGCGGGAGAGTGCTAATAAGCACACTCCAGAAGCCTCGACATCTTGTGTATTCGGTATGCCTGTACTTCAAAATGGCAGCAGGGGTGCTTTAACTAAAGCTCGTTGAATGAGATTTTAGTTAAAGCATCCCCACCACCATTTTGAACTACCAGGACTCAAAATACATGAGATGCTGCAGGCACTTTTAGGTACAGCAACTCTCAGAGCCACTCTAATTAAAGCACCTCCCCGCATCCATCCCCACGTCCCCCCATCCTCCCCATCCCCCCCTGTCCTCCCCCCATCTATCCCCACGTATAAAGATGCCCCTTATTTCTAGAACAGTAGGATTAAAAGAATTATGAAGAGCTGCCATTTTTCTATTATCACTAGCCCAATTGAAATGGCAATGGACATTTCACAAGATACATTATTCATTCAATAGGTTAAATTTCCCCACTATGCATCTTCTCAATTAATTAGTTTACAGATCAATTTCTTAAGGGTCCTGATCAGCTGTGGGTGCCTTCAGGTCCCAGTAGGAATACTCAGCATCAATCAGGATCAGTGGTAGCATTAACTATGGAAGGATAACTGTGACTGCTGCCTTGGGATGTTTGGAGGGGTTGAGGCAGCAGCACCCAGAAGTCAACAATGCCCCTGTGTGTAGCAGTTCCCCCATATGCCTGGCAGTTCCCTCATTATGCTTCTAAGGATCAAGACTCTACATCTCCTCTAATGTATGTTTGTGGAAATCATGTGAATGCACTGAAAAAGACACTGTAGGCCCCAGATTTCAGCTGCAACTGAAAGAAGAACTGCAAGGGTGCCTGATTTAGGGAGCAGTTCGACTCCATTTCCAGAGCAGCCTGGCAGCTATTCTAAATGGGGCACAAAGGCTATACCTCGAAAGTGAACATTATCAACTAGAGATGGCAATAATAGATTATGCCAGCCAAGCCTCCACCTCAAAATTCCCCTACCCCAGAAAGGGACATGGTGAAATGCAGAAACTGGCTACAGAAATTGGCTAGGCTAGCTCTCTGAACCCTAAGGAGCCCCCCACACCAGACCTCTTCCCAACAAAGAAAATCCAACAGCTTTCTACTCCTCTGCCTATGGAAGCACAAGCCAGGAAACTCCTACATATCTCATGTCTGTTAATTAAAAAAAAATAGGAAATGCAAAGTACTATTTATTTAATTGATGTAAATCATTACTATAACACTATGTGGCACCAGGCATGTTCAACAAACTGAGCAATGAAGGTCTCTTCAATACTACTTTAAATAACTGCACCCAGAATTGTCCCTTATGTGGTAAATAGGCTCCCAAGCTATGGTACATTGTCTGTTACTGACAGGATGAGCCTGGAATAATTCCTGCCTAATAACTTTTGCCCAGGCTGGATATTGCAATGAAAAAGTCAGTACTCTTTAATTTTTAATATTGGCTTTTATCAGGTTTTTGGAATGGGTATTGTATGACTATACTGGCTTAGCTTAATAGAGGCCTTTAAAGAAAAAAGCAATCAGGAAAGAAAAAAATAGCTCAAGGAAAACTGCTTTTCCATATACACTTAAGGGTTGTTAAGAGAGAATATCAGAATTAGAAAAAAAGCCCAAGCACACAGAAAGTTCAAATAAATTATGACAAGTTTAAACAGGAATGATCCCTCCAGAGAGTAGTTCTGAAGAGTTAGACCAACAAGTGGACACCCACTGAAGATATCTGAAGAAAGGAGGTATAGATTATGATCAGGAGATGGGAAAAATTTTAGGTAAGGCTGTTCTGAAATCCCTTTTTCACTAAATATTTTATTCTTATTGTTAAAATAAACAATATCTTGTCTTAAAGCGGTCTGATTAGTGGCTGTCTGAAATACTACTGGTTACAGCCACAGGTGTTCAAATTTAGTTAGCCCTTCAAGGCATGATTAGATAATATACAGAGTACTGTAACACTCCTCTCCTTCTTCCCAGAGCAATTTGCCATGTCTGCAGTCAAACGTGTGCATCTTAGGTTGGTCTCCTCAGTTACCTACAGACTCGCAGTTGACTTCCCTTTTTACTGGAGGACTGTCATCCTTGTATCAAGGGACTGTCACAGCTGCCAACCATAACCCTAGCTCAGCCCAGGGGTGGAAGAACTGCTGTACCTATGTCCTTATGTTCCCCATACAAGAAAAGTAGTGAGGAGGGAGAGGAAATTCTGCTTACTGCTACTTCAAAAGGAACTTTAAATACTAGGATTTAGGTGAGGCAGACTTAAAGGCTAAGAATTCTGCTCATAGAAAGGAGGGGCATATCCTTGAGCCTCCTGGGCAAGGCTGAACAGTTTCTTTTATGTTTTGAAGGGGTGAAACAGGTTGATAAGGGAAGATAACAGGTGGGGGATATACAGATGGCGCACACTACTAGATATTGTATGCACATACCCCTGCTAAATTGAAAATGCACTGCCCTTTTATTTGAGATGCACTCACCGGGTTAGAATGGGCTGAGACTGTGCTAGCAGCAGATGGAGATCGGGAAACTACAGGACTGATGAGCTGAGGGAATGAGCCCCTGGCCACAACTAGCTGGACATTATCTTTCGCTTTCTGTAGGATGCTGATAGCCTGCTGATGTGTAATTGTCTGATCAAGGGCTTGTCCATTAATAGCAAGGATTTGATCGGCTTCCTTCAGCCTTCCATCTCTGCCACATGCATATAAATAGAGAAGAAACACAAACCACAAACAGCAAAAAAAAAAAAAAAAGTGTTGCCACAGAAATTACAGTATTTTGACAATTTTCCAGAAATTTTTATTATCCCATTTTCTATTTCTGCACTTTTTAATCTTTCCCTGCAGTTTTGCTCCAAGGAGCTACTGTGGCACCCTGGTGATCAGCTCCCTTTGAAGCTAATCCCACCACCACTCTCTCATGGCTACTACCCCCCAGCTAGCTCCCTTCTTCCTGCACCCCCATCCGAGACTAAGCATGTTAGATCTCAGCTGCTCCCAACCATAGCCTGGGAACTTATGTTTATTCTTGACTTTGAGTCTCTTGCTTAACAGACCAAGTACTCTTCTTTGTTCAGAGCAAAAGTTCTGAATATTCATCAAATCATGCAGTGGAACATACTTTCATCAACATATTAAGAAAACTAATTTTGTTTCCAGAAAATGAGAGGGGGAAAAAGAGAGAGGATGATAAAACAGATCCATTTTAAATGGAAAACTAGTATAAATTATAAAAATAACTCATTTCCTGGCAAAGGAAGCATTTCTGTACAGTCATATACTGAGCCTTTCCCAGACCTACTTCAAAGGAAAGAGTCTCTATGGATAACCTGTCCACAGCCTTCTTCATTTCTTCTATTAGATTCACACAAGCAAAGGCCCTGGAAATCACACTTTAAAAAATTGTAAATGACAATTACAAATTGTCACAAAAACAAGCTTCCCCATATGATGCACTTCTAGGTTTACCTCTCCTAGCTCGGGGGCCAAAATATTCAGGAGTGACCAGGTAAAATGATTTCTAGCCTCAATCCAGAATATTTGGTTTGCAAATCTGGAATGCCTTTGCTGACTATAGGAAGATGTATTACTCCTAGGGCTTCTTAAATTTATGAAACCCACTGCAGTAGTTGAAAAGTTCTGTTCCCCAATAAGGCCATCCTGGAATTGACAAATGATTTGTTCTCTTTATAAATCAACTACGACAATGAAAATATGTCTCAGCTTCTCTATCTGAACAAAGCAGCATAGAACACTTGCAGAGAAAAGCAATTTGAAAAAGGAACTAAAATAATCTAGAAAAATTGCTGTGATATACAGAAAAAGCAAAGTTTTACTGAATTTAACTCTAGTGCACATACTCTCTACTCCATTAAGTCATGATGGTGTTTAGACAAAAAAAAAAAAACACGGAAGAGTATAGGTGCCGACTTTGGGTTTTGCTGGGGGGTGCCTGCAGACATAAAAACAAAACAAAACAAAACAAACAATGGCACTTTAATTTAAACTCAGAACATTCCTGCACCAAGCCCTGTGAGTGCCCAGAAGAGGCAGTGTACTACTTCAACCCGATGCTGCAGCATCTGTAAGATTAGGCACTTTAGTGGGGCTTTTTTGGTGCTTTCATCTAATAGCTAATTGAATCAGCTTTAGCTAAAAGTGTCAAAAAGCCCTGTTGAAGTGCCTGATCTTTACCAAGGCCGCAAAGCTTGGCTGAAATAACGCTTTGCTTCTTCTGGTAAAGCTTCTTTCTTTTTTTTCTTTCTTTCTTCTTTTGTGGGGGGGGGAGGGGGGGGAAGGGAGGGAGATCTAACATGTAAAAGCAAAATAGCCATGGCTCATGGATGCTGAGCACCTGCTAATTTTTTTGGTGGGTGCTTGAGCCTATGCATGAGTCAAATCACATGGCACAGGCAGGTGAGAAGATACTCTGCAAAAGATCATGCAACCCTGCATATTATAGAGTTCACATTCATATGGAGGATCGATAGCCCAGATCGGTACATATGATGAGCCAGAGGCATGGCACAGAACAGAACAGATGAACCCAGGTGCAAAGCTATCTGGGGCAGATAAGGGGAGCAGAACACACAAATTCTTTTAAATTGTTCCCCACTATTTAGCTGTAGGTACCTAAGCCTGGCCTATCTACTTCCCATGGTAAGAGTCTTGTTTTCTCCTTTTCAGTCATGACTTGTGGGCTCAGGATTGAAGCTTACAGGATATTTTCAGCAAACACTTATTGCTGAATTTCAGGTAAGAACATCTATCTGGAAGCACTTGGTTAATTCCAATGTTTTTTCACCAGTGTACACATTTTAGGTTAAGCATTGCTTGAAGCTGTGACACCTAGAGAGCCATTCTGAGACACACACTTTTGCTCAGTGAAACCTTACTCTACCTATCAGGCTACTTTGTGCTAGTCAAAGTAAGGAAGGCATCAGAATCAAGATCTACAGCAACAATGGCATCTTCTATACAACATTTAAAAAAACTACTCTGCCTTTGATGGAGATTAACAATATTCCTGATACTATAATTGGGAATGTTGTCAGCAAGTAAGATCAGAGTCAATTCCTGCATCTGGAAAAATACAATATTTTAAAAGATTAGTGCAGTCATCAGATGAAGCTCTGCTCCAATGCAATAAATTAATATTAAATTTACATTTACAATTTAAACTTTTTGTTTAAATTGTCTGCTTTTCAGTTGAGACTGAAATGTTTTAGGCTTGAGAATCTGCAAGAAATAACCCTGGCACCATGACAATGACAAACCCACAAAATAATGCCCCAAACCAAATTACACTGTTATGCAGTGTTCACATTATGTTGTTATGCAATATTTTTATAATAATGTTAATCTATCAGTGTTCTTACCTATGTGCCACACTTCCCTCTTGAATCTCCTGCACAAATATTCCCAGTTCCCCTCTGTTTTCACTCTTCAATCCCACAACACTAAAGCCCAAGCCACCACTTAGAGGTTTAACAAGATCTATGGTCTCAATGAGGCGACCCTGTTCCGGAAACCAAACAAACAAGACACACACATTAAACACTGAAAAATCTGCTGAATCATTTTAAACACAACTACACATAAAATTGTAATCAAACTCTTACAACTGAGACTTCATACAGGTCAATAAATGAACAGTTTATCATTATGAAATGTTATCTACCTACTTATAGGCCAAACGAAAGCTGACACATTTCAAGGATTTCAGGGAGAGCAATATAAATTATTACAGCCTCGGAAAAGATTAGAAGTTAAATATATAGTTTGGCTTAACGGTGACTAAAGGAGGACATAACACCTGTAAGTTCTTGAAGCATAAAAAGCAATTATGGGACATAACTAGGATTAGTGGGATGAAATTCTGTGGGGAAAGGGAGAGAAACTCTTAGGTGATCAGGAAACAATTCCTGATTGTCCATTAGACTTTGAAAATCTTCCTAGGAAGGTGATATAGAACCTCTCACCTGAGCCTTTTAAAAGTAAAATGGAAAAGGACCTGGAAATTTTCAGGACCAAATACTGTCCCAGATTTCATGTGGTCAACATAACTAAAGTCAATGGAAGTATGGACAGACTTCTGTCTACTATACGAAATTATCCTGCAGTCACAGGGTGTGGACAAGATGATCTTAGAGGGTTTTTTCATCTCTAATTTCCAATTCTATGATACATTACAAGCTGTATAAAATGTAACACCTTTTAATATTTATTGCAAAGTGCTCCACAAACACAAATGTTAATGCATTAGGAAAACAAATAGGTATAAATTCCAGAGAGCAAGTGTTAATAATAATAATAATAATAATCCACCCTTCATCCGTGAAACAGCAGTCCTGCACATAGGAACACAGTAAAATAGGACCAGAGGGGACATCACAAGGTCATCTAGTCCAGCCTCCTGTTGAAGGTAGAATAATCCCTGACTAACTCACCTCAACTAAGGCTAAGTACAGACATTCAAAGAGCCCTAGGCAGACTCAGACTATCTTATGTGGGTTTCTCTAAGTGGACTAGGTTAGTTTAGGAGAGAACAGAACACAAGTGCACCAACTGGTGGAGGGACATGTAGGATGATTGCACAGGCTGAGGCCAGCAGGTTGGGGCAGCTCCTGCATGCCTCCCAGCTTGCCAGAGACTATGGAGGGCAGCTGAATGCAGCTGAGTGACAGGACCCCTCTGACTGGCTGCTGGGCACACACCCCTAACTCACTATCAGCAGCAGTGTGGGGGGAAGGGAACTGAGGCATCTGTTGCACAGACCTGGCTCTGGCTGCCAGAGAGGGGAGCTAGCACAGATTCCCTGACCACCTCTCCAACCCCATGTCCTGTGAGCTGGCTGGACACAGGACATGGGGTTGGGGAGAAATTCTGTGCTAGCTCAACTCTTTGATAGCCTGGAGGCAGGGCCCACTGTACACTTGCCCAGAGCAGCCAAGCATGGCATTGCTTCAACACAGTTCCCTGGGGGGTGGGGGATGCTGACAGACAGTGACCTAACATGAATCAATAGGGGTCTGGTACAGAAGTTCAATAGGTTGATCTAATCTAAACCAATTAAGTCTGATACCACACTGATACCACCATTTTTAAACTAGTCTATGTGCCCCAAACTTCTATTTTGTTACAGGTACAGACTGGTTTCCGATCACTTATACTGGTTTATGTGCAATGTCTGTACTTGGCCTAAGTGTCTGTCTAACTTGCTCTGAAAAATTTCAGTGATGAAGATTCCACAACTTCTCTATAGAGCCTGTTCCAATGCTTGACTGCACTCTAGTGAAAAAGTTCTTCCTAACCTTCAACCTAAATCTACTCTGCTGCAGTTTGAGGCCATTGCTCCTAGTCCTGATCCCTAGAGCCATACAGAAATGTCTATCTCCCTCCCTCCTTAATCACCCTTCAGGTATTTGAAGACTGCCTCAGTCTTCTCTTCTCCAGAATAAATAACCCTGGTTCTTTCAGCCTTTCCTCATTCCATCATGTGTCCAGGCCTCAAATCATCCTTGTTGCTCTCCTTTGGACTTTTTACAATCTTCCCACATCTTTTCTGAAGTGCAGGGCCCAAAACTGGACATAGCACTCCAGGTGAGGCCTTGACTTGCAAGTAACATTCCTGGTAATGCAACCCACTATGCTGTTGGCTTTCTTTTTCCTTTTTGCAACAAAGACATACTGTTGACTCATATTACATGGTCTACTGTAACCTCAATATAAAAAAGTTTGTTTTTAAAAATATAGTATTTTCTTATATACCACATGCCCTCAAATAAGGCATGCAGCGTGTTTTGGGAAGGCAGAATGAATTAGAGAAGAGAGTTTTCCTTGCCACATCATGGGCTCACCATGGCTGAATGCTCCTGAATACATGAATCATACTCTCCTCCCAGCACCAAAGCTCAAGCTATAACCCCATCACAACCCCTGACAAACTGACAGCAGCTTTTGGCTGAGTAATTAATATGGCAGAAGCTGTGATGGTGTTTTAGTTATGGGGTTGAGAGGAGAAAGTAAGTGACACTACGAACTGGACTCTGCCCCTCCTGCACAGACGCTGGAACGTAGCACAATCCTTAGCAGCAGTTACAGAATCCCCATACCTCTATGCCAGTGCGGAAATCACCTTCCTCAATTAAAAAATGCACCTCTATTCTAATTTATGAGGGAAAGATGCATGTCTCATGCAAGTAATTTTGGTACTTCCCTTCTCTTGACAAAGAAGGGCAAGAATCTATTTAGCAACTCCAATGACCCATTATTTGTGGTTACAAATCATTAAACATGTAACAATGAAATACTATTCTTGAACATGTTATCTTCTTACCTGTGACATATTTCTGATCATTTGCTCCACATCATCACTAGAGGATTTTCCATTAATCTGAGGAGTAGTAGATCTCACTGAGGCATCTAGAACATTAGCTGGGCTGCCATTCTGCTGGGCCAGTAAATAGGATTCATTATGTGGCAAGGAACCCACACTAGCACCATGATGGAGGAGCTGTGGAAATGCACCAGCTGAATGGATGGTAGGTGCAACATTTACCTGAAGATGAATCACAACATCAGAATAAAACTGTATAATGTAGAACAACTATCATTGCTGATAAATAGCCCCATGATTAAAAGGCTGTCATGACAAAAAAAACCCAAAAAAACATAACTATAGTGCACAATATAACTGGAACCATGAAAACATATGAGCAAAAGTAATGGCAGCATAATCTGCAGAAATTGTCTGTAGCCTATCTAAACTGTATTTCTTTGTGTTAGCGTAAATACCCAGAGTAGCTCTAGCACTGTAATAATGGTGACCAAAGAAGAACAGTTGTTTTCAGTGCACCAGAGCTTTCTAAAGCAAACAGCACTCACTCTCTAAAAAAAGCTGCATTTCACTTGGGGAAGAAATAAACCTCATCAGCTAAGTAGAAAGTAAGTCACTGATCTAATCTTTCATATCTCCATAGAGTAAGACTGTCAATCTCTGTTAACCTTGCCATCAGGTCAGGTGTAATTTAAAATTGGTAGGTAGTGTGTCAGAATCCCAACTGTTCTGAAAAATCACAATCACAGGTAGCAACTTTATCATCTACCCTGATTAAGGGATGTTTTGTGTGTTCTGCTCCCCAAAGTAGAAGAGAACAGCGATAGTCCCTACCCATCTTTCCCTTGGTCAGTACCAAATTCCTCTTCTTTATGCCCAAATGAAGTGATGTTGAGCAGGGTGGGCAGCCAACAGCACCTATCAGATCAGCTGAGGGCCCAAGCCTAGCCAGTAGCACCTTGTAAGTCAGATGAGGGCCTACACAGTCCATTCAGCAGCAGCCTCTACAATAACACCCACGGGTCCCGGTA